CTAAATCTGCCTAAGGTTCCTCAGTTTTGCTCCTTGGCGGACGCTGCTGCTTCTGAGCTGGGAATAGCTTTGCGCAGCGACTGTTCGGGGATAGTGAGCAAGGCTGGGGGAGCACTGGCTGCTGCTGGCACGGCACGTCCGCCTGCAGGCTCCGACGATGCTCCCGGGCACTGTCCTGCCGAGGGCTGTGGTTGGAACACCCGAGCGCCCAACAGGGAGGCGCTTCGCAAGAAAGCTTGGACCCATTGGAGCAGTCGACACGGGGGCCCGATGCTTGAGGGCGCAGGCTTTCGAGCTGCGCCGCAAGTTACTGAGGCTTCTAAGGAACTGCCGAGAGCTGAGCATGCCTGGACGTGCCCGGTTCCAAAGTGCGGGGCGGGGCTTCCTGCCCTGCATAGATGGGCAATGGAGCTTAGTATCGAAAGACATCGCAAGCAGAGCCACCCTAGATGGTCCAGGAAGAAGATGTACCAGTTCCGAAGGAAGGACTGGCAGCAGTCGCCTTACCTGAAACAGGGCCGGGCCAAGGTGGCGCAGGCTCGGCGAGATAGGGCCGACGAACTGGATAAGCACATAGATCATAAGGGTCACCAGCTCGTTCGGCTTGAGCTCCCTGCTGTGAGCGGGCCCCGTAGGTTCCTCACGTGCGCTAGATGCAGAGCCCGCGCCTACAACATTGGCGCCATGCTTGCTAAACGATGCCCGAAAAAGCCAGCCAAAACCTCGCCAGCTTCAAGGAATTGGTGGAGGAAGTATCGCGATCAGGGCTTGCAACCTCTCCTCGATGCCTGGAAAGTCACGCAGACCCAGGCCGATGAGTACTTTGACTTCCGGACTGCTACGCAACCCGTTCAGGACCAGGAAGAGGTCCCGTTATGGGCTGTCGGCAACGAGAAGGGACATGCTTGGCGATGGGTCGATGACTGGAGTAAATGGTCTACGCAGTCTAGCTCGAACCGAGGGCGTCTGCTCACGTGCTTGAACTGCAGGCTTGTCCGTAGAGCTGGAAACCGCATCATGCCTTGCAGAGGCCGGGAAGCCACCCCTCACCTGCTGCAGGGTAAGTTCTGGGAGAGCTTGAAGCACAGCCTTGCCATTAAGCGTACCCTTTGCAGTAAGTGGAAGTGCACGGTGACTGAGGCTAATCATTGCTAATCGCTTCTATTCGCTTACCAAGCAGGCCTCGGCGAGTAAGAAACGTAAAAGCTGCTCCCTTCCGGGACCGAAAACTCAGGCTGACAATCGCAAGCAGGGTGAAGCTTCCAACCCGGGTCCTGTTCGGCTTCGAAGCTCCCTAGCAGGATTTGTTTGGCCAGGATGCAATTGGCCCCTCGGAATCCACTGCTTTTCTCTAATGGTCCTGTTTTGGTGAGGCGCCCAGGCAAAGCGTCGCGGCCCCAGGACTGTTGTAGACTCGCGGTGCCTCGGATGCAAGGTTTCGGCCACGTTTCGGCTTCGGAGCTCCCCAGCAGGCTGTGTTTGACCAGCATGCAATTGGGCAGTAGCAAAGGTGCGCCAAATGCCCCTCGGAACCCACTGCCTATTTCTAATGGTCCGGTTTTGGTGGGACACTCAGGCAAGGGGCCGCGGCCCAGGACTGTCGTAGACTCACGCTGCCTTGGAAGCTTGCCTTGGATGCAAGTTTTCGGCACCCTGGCTCTAGCGGGAAGCGAAGTTAGGGACTGCTATGTGCCTGTCTGGAAGCCTTCTGCGAGTCAGGTTCAGGCCAAGTTGCCGGACGCTCCTTTTGAGCCTCCTCGTACTTGGGTTGGCAGGCTTGTGCAGCCCTCTGAGACTAAACGTGTGCGGGTGCGTGCCTTGGATGTTGATGTCGGCGTGGTTGCTTGGTTGCTTGGTGCCAGCGAGCAGCCGTTGCTTTTGGACTCAGTGTCGGTTTGGCGGTTACCGTGCTTGCCGGGTTGGTGAGGCCAGCCACCCGGGCCCGGTGTCTAATGACAGCTCATCGCTTCACTCTGACTTGAAGTTCTGGTGCATCAACACTGGTGGGCCTAAGCATGCGTGGACTGTTCTTGCTGAGGCTGCGCGTGAGAGGCTTGACGTTGTTGCTTTACAGGAACTCCGCATGCTCCCGAGAGAGCTGTCTGCCTTTTCTGCTAAAGCTCGGCAGCAAGGCTTTGCTTTGTATGCGCAGCCTGGTCCCACTGGTGTGGGTGGTTGGAAGGAAGACAGAGCTTGGGCTGGAGTTGCGCTCCTCGTCAGCACCAAGCTTCGCAGCCGTGCTTGCCCTCTTGTCGGTGGTAAAAGCGGACTTGGATCAACGGTGCTGTGCTTGGTAGTTGCTATGTTGCCCAGAGCGAGGAGGCCGATGACTTTCATGCTGAGCTCTTGCAGCATGTTGCGGCGTTGTCGTCTGGCACGCGCTGGATGCTTATGAGCCGCTTATGGGTGATTGGAACATGACCCCCGTTCAAAATGGTCTTCTCGCCTCTTTGCAGCGACGGGATGCTCGCTTAGCTGCTGTCACGAATGCGAGCATGGACGTACTGCCCACCAGATGGGAAGGCAGGCGTGCTATTGACTACATCATCGCTCATGAGACGTGCGTTATCTCTGGCCTTACTTTCGGTGATGCTCATTACAACGATCATAAGCTGCTCCGTGGCAGTATGCGGGTTGCCAAGGCTGTCAGGCATGTTGACTGGCAGTTGTGCAGCGCTGCCAGATACTTGCCACCTGATGACTTCCCTGCTGACCGCTGGAGTGAGTTGCTGTACGAAGGTTGGCGTCAAGCGGCCCCCCTTCCGGCGGCACATGGGCTCTCTGCTGAGACTTGCGACAGCTGGTGGACTGCAGCCATGGCTAAGTTGGAAGATGTGTTTAAGCATGCTTGGCTTGCCTCTCGTGACTCGGTTGCCCCTTCTGGTCGCGTCTTGCTTCCTAAGGGCCGTCCTAGCTCTGCGGACCTCAGATTTCGCGCTCAAACGCCCGTGAAGCGTCACCCTGAGGGTAGTCATGCTTCGCATCGGCTCCGCTGTCTGCGTGCGCTGCTGAACCGGTTGTTGGCTCTGCGTGCTCACTTTCTTGAAGATACTTTGCACACTGTTGAGGCTGTCAACTTGCAAAGGAAGATTCGTCGTTGTCCGCACCTGCCTGACGTTCAAGGTCACAGTGCTCGCATCCAAGCTGTTAAGGACCTCATTGCTGTGGCTGAAAAACAGCAACATGATGATCACATCAAGGCTTGGAAGAGCAGACTCAAGGCTTCTGATGCCGCCTGTTACAAGTGGGTGCGTGGCCCTGCCGCCCCGCTTAGTCATATGGTCTGTCTCGGCCCGGCCATTTGTAGCGACAGTCTTGATGGCGCTTTACTTCACCTGCGTGACTTTTGGAGAGGTGTGTGGGAGCGTCCCCTTCCGGACTTGCAGTCTCAGTTGAATGCTTGCCTTGCTGTGCTTGGGCCTCAAGTTCCACCTTCGGAGTGGACTAGCCTCACGGCTCAGGAGCTGAAGGCCGCGGCTAAGACTCAGCGCGGCTCTGGCGCTGGTCTGGATGGTTGGACTGGTGACGAGGTGGCGTCCATTCCGCTTGAGATATGGGATGAACTCCTCCCCTTCTACCTTGCGTGTGAGCGCTTGGGTGTTGTCCCTGACGGTTGGAGAAAGATGCGCCAGGTTCACCTCCCTAAACCCAACAAGCCAAATCGTGCGACTGATGGAGCCACACCCGCTGCTAGCATGAGACCTATCTCTGTGATTATTGTTTCCTGGAGAGTCTACGCGTCGGCTCGCTTTAAAAGTGCCAGCAGCACCGCCTGGTGCCAGACTTGGCTGCCCTCTGACGGCCGTAAGGGTGCTCACGTCTACAGAGCTGCGTCCAGGCTCCTTGAGCCTGTCAGTGATGGTTGGTACTTGGGGTCTTTCGACTATAGCTTGGCGTTTGACCATGTGAGACCAGGCCTGGTTTGCTGCTTGATGAAGCATTGGGGTATGCCTATGGGCCTTGCTGACATGCTTCTCTCTTTGTGGGGTCGGCAGGAGCGGTACTTGTAACTGCATGGCTGTACTGCCAAGCAGCCTGAGCATGTGAGCTCTTCGATACCGCAGGCAAGGCGATCCCTTTGAGATGCTTGCCATATCCCCCTCCCTTACCTAAATGCCTACGGGGGGTACCCAAGGTCCAGTGTGCATTATCGCCTGTCGGCACCAAAACAGCAGAGTAATGCCCAGTCGGACGTGGAAGGTCCCATGATGCATTTTCTGGCGTGGTGTATCCCGGGCAATGAAAAGCCCATAATGTACTCCGGATAGATCGCGCCGAACAGTGATAGAAACAACATTTCCCATCCGATCCCCCTTGTCACTTAAAGTCCGGTTTTTCCTAAGAATTGCAAACGCACTGCTTCGCTTTGGCTCGAATGTCTTCCCGAAAACTTGTCCTGTCTTCTGCAGCCTGTGGTAGTTACCGGGTGGGGCTGCTCCCTGGGACCCTGCATTATTCGTCTCTTTGCTGCCTGCTATTGATGCGAGTACCATACCCGGCAAAGGCACAGGCCACGGTAAAATGCATAATCCAGGGTGGGAAGGTCCGCAGTTCATCGGTATTTACCGGGCGGGGCTGGGCCCTGGAACCCTGCACTATTCATTTTCTCCCTATTGCAACACACAGTTCCAGTACATATCAGTACCAGTGCCAGCATTTCTTTCGTACTAGTAACTAGTTCTTCTCTGTACCAATACCACCAGAGTCGGGGTCTTGCTGCTAGTTCCCAGATGTCTTTCCAGCAACGCACAGGCCACGGTAAAATGCATAATCGAGGGTGGGAAGGTCCCCAGTTCATCGGTATTTACCGGGTGGGGCTGTTCCCTGGGACCCTGGATTATTCGTCTCCTTGCTGCCTGCGTGAGTGTGTGTCACCAACCCCAGGTCCAAACATCAACACCGGAATATTGCATAATCCAGCCCTCGATTTGCTCCAAGGCCCCCGATAATGTATAATCCGGAGTGTTCGACGTCGAAACATGCATTAGGCATTTTCCTAGGTACCCCAGCCCCAAAGGGTGGGGGATCTTGCCATGTCGCTGCTTCTGACAGTGCCGTACCGCGACTTGAAGGCTAAGCATCGCAACGCTGCTTGGATGCTTTACGTCGATGATCGCTCCTGGGCGGCTCCTAATGCCCGTCAGTGCGTTCAGATCGGCTGCCAGTGGCGTGAGTGGTCCGACACCCTTGGTCTCAAGGAGAATGAGTCCAAAGATCAATACCACCACTGCACTGTGCGTGGCCGTCGTCAGCTTCTTGCTGCTGGTGTTCCAGGCGATCGAGTCACACCGTGGCCTAAAATCCTTGGTGTTACCCTTGTCCCGGCCTCTCGGCGCAAAACGCTTGGTACGGAAAGTGATCGTTTGCAAGCGGCGGCTTGGGTCTTGAAAAGGGTCCTTTGTCTGCCCGTCCCCTTTGCTAGGCGCGTCAGGTTCGCTGGCGTCTGTGGCGTCAGTAAGGCGGCCTTTGGTTGGATGTGTCGCTTGCCTACTGTTGGCGAACTCCGTTCGTTTGACTGGAAGGTTGCGTTGGCTTGCAAGTCTGCGCGTCAGGCTGATCCTTCGCTTCGCCGCATCATGCTTGGTCACCATGCGTCCCTCGGGTTCCGCACTGCCTTTGATCAAGTCATGGCCTTGTGGCGCTGTGTGAAGAATGGTGATGCCCTGCCTACACGCAGTAGCGATTGGGCGAAGGTCGTCTACAAGTCCATGAGCCGCCTTGGTTGGTCGCCTTCTGATGTCGGTTGGTGTTGGCGCAACGATGCTGCGGAAGTTAGCCTTGATGTCAACCAGTCGGGCTTTGTCCAAGTTGCTGACAGGTTTATGCATCTGCTGCGCGAGTCTTGGCGACGTCGCTTGTTTCGTGTCTGGACTTTGCGTGGTCGCACTGACAGTCGTGCTTGCTCAGGTGTTGTGTACAACGAACAGCAGTGCACTCATGCCCGGAAAACGGCCCTGACCAGTCGTAACGCTTTCACGGTCCTCAGTGGAGCCGCTTTCTCCTGGGCCCGTCGGCGCCGTGCAGATGGAGATCGCACTTGCCCCCTCTGCTTGGCGGCAGTGGGTAGCTGGGATCATCTTGCTTGGGCTTGCCCCCAAAATGCGCCCCCGTGCAGTAAGCCCCAGTGCAGCCTACAGGCTAGGCTTGGATGGGGTGACCAGGTTGCTTTTGGTCACCTGGCAGCGACAAGGCTTAAGATCCTGCCCTTCACTCGGGCGCTCAGTTCTGCCGAGGCTAACAACGACTACGGCTGATCGTTTTCTGCAGATGCCTGCCGTTGCCCTCTGGGCTGCTTTTGCAAGAGACTGATGGATGCGTCCTTCAGTCTTGGTAGCCTGTGTCTCGACGCTTGAGGCTGCCACGCCACGCTAAGGACCAACTAAGGTGGCCTTCTTCGGCTAAGGTGCCTGTGTTGCTCCGCCACTCCTGGCGCCACTTTTGGCACGACAACAGGGGGCTCATGCCCCCTACCTCCTGCCGTACCTGTACTTTCATGAGTATGTGTCCGGCGCCTCTGCCTGCCGCTTGGATGCTTTACGTCGATGATCGCTCCTGGGCGGCTCCTAATGCCCGTCAGTGCGTTCAGATCGGCCGCCAGTGGCGTGAGTGGTCCGACACCCTTGGTCTCAAGGAGAATGAGTCCAAAGATCAATACCACCACCGCACTGTGCGTGGCCGTCGTCAGCTTCTTGCTGCTGGCGTCCCAGGCGATCGAGTCACACCGTGGCCTAAAATCCTTGGTGTTACCCTTGTCCCGGCCTCTCGGCGCAAAACGCTTGGTACGGAAAGTGATCGTTTGCAAGCGGCGGCTTGGGTCTTGAAAAGGGTCCTTTGTCTGCCCGTCCCCTTTGCTAGGCGCGTCAGGTTCGCTGGCGTCTGTGGTGTCAGTAAGGCGGCCTTTGGTTGGATGTGTCGCTTGCCTACTGTTGGCGAACTCCGTTCGTTTGACGAAGGTTGCGTTGGCTTGCAAGTCTGCGCGTCAGGCTGATCCTTCGCTTCGCCGCATCATGCTTGGTCACCATGCGTCCCTCGGGTTCCGCACTGCCTTTGATCAAGTCATGGCCTTGTGGCGCTGTGTGAGGAATGGTGATGCCCTGCCTACACGCAGTAGCGATTGGGCGAAGGTCGTCTACAAGTCCATGAGCCGCCTTGGTTGGTCGCCTTCTGATGTCGGTTGGTGTTGGCGCAACGATGCTGCGGAAGTTAGCCTCGATGTCAACCAGTCGGGCTTTGTCCAAGTTGCCGACAGGTTTATGCATCTGCTGCGCGAGTCTTGGCGACGTCGCTTGTTTCGTGTCTGGACTTTGCGTGGTCGCACTGACAGTCGTGCTTGCTCAGGTGTTGTGTACAACGAACAGCAATGCGCTCATGCCCGAAAAACGGCCCTGACCAGTCGTAACGCTTTCACGGTCCTCACTGGAGCCGCTTACTCCTGGGCCCGTCGGCGCCGTGCAGATGATGATCGCACTTGCCCCTCTGCCTGGCGGCAGTGGGTAGCTGGGATCATCTTGCTTGGGCTTGCCCCCAAAATGCGCCCCCGTGCAGTAAGCCCCAGTGCAGCCTACAGGCTAGGCTTGGATGGGGTAACCAGGTTGTTTTTGATCACCTGGCAGCGACAAGGCTTAAGATCCTGCCCTTCACTCGGGCGCTCAGTTCTGCCGAGGCTAACAACGACTACGGCTGATCGTTTTCTGCAGATGCCTGCCGTTGCCCTCTGGGCTGCTTTTGCAAGAGACTGATGGATGCGTCCTTCAGTCTTGGTAGCCTGTGTCTCGACGCTTGAGGCTGCCACGCCACGCTAAGGACCAACTAAGGTGGCCTTCTTCGGCTAAGGTGCCTGTGTTGCTCCGCCACTTCTGGCGCCACGAAGAGGGGGCTCATGCCCCCTACCTCCTGCCGTGCCTGTACTTTCTTGAGTATGTGTCCGGCGCCTCTACCTACGACGACCCCCCCAGATGATCACTCGAGTGTTTTGCAACAGAGCGATGGAAGATGATGGAAGAGTTTAGAGAAAGACATCTTCCAAACCCATGCCAAATTTGTTCATCTCAGGGTCGCGCTCAGGGTCGCACATGAACTTGTTGAGTGTTGGATTTGGAAAAGGTGCTGTTGATGGGTGGTGTCGATGGATTGTAGTTTCAAGAATTTCCGGTGATTCTGTTGATGGAAGAAATCTTGCACCACTTTGAGTAGACCAACAACGCGAATACCCCGCACCCCTGTCTAACATTGATGTCCACTCCGGGGAAGGGCCGTGGGTTCCTTTTGCACCGGCCACATTGCACACTATCATCAATATTAAACCGGGGGTCCGGGCCATTGGTGAAAAGGCGACAACATCATTGCACTTCAATTCTCCCCAACGTATCTTTTATTTATTCGGGGATGTGGGGGCATCAGAAATTCAAAATTGAAAAGTATTGTAAGGTTGCACGAAGGCATCACGCAATCAAAGGTTTTTATTGTACTGTGGGCGGGTTAAACCCAGGATGCATTCTTGGAATGCTTCTCGCCCCTAGCAGTCCGTCTTCCGACGGAACTCTTGGTGATTCTTGTTCCCGTTGCTTTGTGATGGAGCAGAATAGACCTCCTTGTATGGGCGTGGACGCGCTGTGCTGTGAGATCTAGTGGGGCCAGTGCAAGCTCGTTTGCCGGTGACGATGCCAAGCAACAACCAGTGCCCGGAAATATGCAAAATGAATTCGAGTGGCGCTGGGGACCCTTCCAATCACATGAGTGTTGGGGCGTGGTAGACGCAGATGGGCCAGCAGAAACAATCCACATAAAAGGTCAAAGGAGCCGCCTCAATGTTCGCAATTTGACAGTCGCAGACACATGCCAGGAAGCACACCATGCTTCGATACCGGCATTTTCGCAGAAACATCAGTCAACCAGGTCAATCGGCCCTCTTGCTACTGTAGTGGATTTGCATTACGGCTTCAATGCCTTCGTGGCAACCGCAGGATTGCTTTCACTGGCGGGCGCGTGGACGCACCTGAAGAAAGGGCGGCCGGAGTCCCTGCATTACCGCTTCTTTCGAGCAAGAGCGGGGTTGACAGAATGATTTTCTGACCCCGACGTGGTTGCACACATGCACGAGCAGCACCTGTTTGTGCTGCCCAAAAATGTCGCCATCACCGCAGGTCGCTCCGGGCAGGCTGCCCGGGGCCGAGCACGGCCTGGCAGCAGGCATGGAGGCGAGAGCTACTGAATTTGGGCAACGCAGGGGTTGGGTCATGGAGGTAATGTGCCTGTCAGGTTGATGAGGAAGGCCGACTGAAGGCTTGGCGCTTGGACCTTTGGAGTGGTCTGGCAGGATCTGTGTGCTCGAGGGCTGGGAGAACCTCGCCCAGCACATCCGTGATGTCTTTGGACGGATGGGCATCACTGACAGGGAGGTCTGGGCTTCACCAGTGCTGGGGAATGATTTATGCTGGTCAGGCGAGGATCAGGTTCAGTCGAGATGGTACTTCTGAAAAGGCCGTAGCCCTGATTTGTGGTGGCCACGTTTATGGACGCTGTCATCCAGAATCGACTGGCTCCGGGTATGCCGCATTCCTACTGCACCCATGCAGTCGACAGTGCCGAGTTTACCATCATTATTATCATCACAATCACCATCACAATCGTCATCACCATCATCGCTATCATCGCCATCATCACCACCATCACCATCGCCACAATCACCACCATCACCATCATCCTCATCATCCTCCTCATCCTCATCACCACCATCACCATCACCACCAGCACCAGCACCAGCAGCAGCATCACCATCATCCACTTGGCAACCCGTGAAATCATTGCCAGCTTCGGTGCACCGGAAGTTAGGCCGGAGCCTGGGTGGAGATGCCAACCCTTTTCAGCAACGAGTACGCAGCGGACATGGTCGAAGCCCCAGCCACGCACTGGCCTCTTGAAGAGATCTTGACTGGCTTCTTCAGCACTTTGACTTTGCTACAAGCAGGTTTTCAGGCTCAGTGACGTGCCTCTTGCAAGCATGATGCCAGCATGACTCCTTCAGCCTTGCGTCGCATTTTTAACCCTGGGCCCCGAGCAGCCTAGCATTCTGGAGACCAGTCTGCCTTCTGACAAGCACGGGGCTGGCATGGTGCGGAAATGGAGCGACACAGCTTCCCTCATGCTGCTGTCTATCTGGGCAGCATCAGCATCTCGCAAGCAGGAATATTGCGGGGTGCAAGGCTTCCTTCAAGTTTTCTTGCTGAGGATGCTGCCGCCGACCCCAATTTTGAGGCAGTCAGTTGCGCAATCGCGTAAGGCACTGTTGATACGCGAGTTTGAATCTGCAGTGTGTGCAGGTGCTACAACAACCAACTGCTCATCTATCATCCGGATCGGTTTACGTGTTTCCGTTGCTTAGCAATGCAAAAGTGCTTGCCAAAAGTCCGCCCGGCTGATTGCCATGCTGGAGGCATGTTACAAAGGGCCACCCCACCTTCCAAACTCAGAAGATGCCCCATGGCAGCCACCGGCACTGCTTCGTGAGTTTGTATGCCTGTAGGCAGAGGAAGAGGTCCTGCGTAGTTCTGCTAGGCTGAACGACTACAGCAAGCACGGTGTGCTGGGGGAGGTGCAGGCATACAATCGCCAGTCAACAGAAACATGGCATCAACGCATCAAGAGTTCAGAACTTGACATCTTCTCGGCACAGACATGAATGCAGAGCCGCAGCCCCCGACCAATCTCACATCTCAGGAGTCAGTCCACCGTGACCCTTGTCTGGCGTGTGAGATGTCATGGCTGACTTTGGGTGCGCGGACGACTGAACACTCTAGTATACTCTAGTTGCATTGACTGCTTCCAAGCTAAGGAACTTTGCAAGCTTCGACAGACGAAAAACCTGACAGCTATCTTTATCCAAGCAGGTGTGTTTCAGAAGCTGGGTGACGACAGCTGCTTTTTCCCGCCGATGCGAGAGCGCTATGCCCAGCATTTGGAGAGGATGCCAGGCTCACGATTAGCAGTTCGTGTTTTGGAGTCCACATCGCCATGAGAATCAGAATCATAGCAGCATCATCATCCCCGCCATCATGACTGCAGTACCACTGTTATCACTACTGCATCGCTTTCGCTCCCAATCATCGTCATCATTACTACAGAGTCACCCTAAGCACTATGATCCTCCTTGCATTTCTGCGTGTGTCGACAGTAAATGCAGCATGATTATTGTGTTCTTTCTCCACAGCCAAAAATCAGTCAACACTCAGTCGAAGCTACAGTTAACGCTACAGTTGAAAGTGCCAGAATGCCACAACATTTAACATTTTCTCCAATGCCCTAAGAACACCTACGTATATGGTTTCTCTCCTTTTAAGGCAGAAATTTCAACTGCTGCGTTTTGCAGACTGCATATAGCATTGCTGAGTTTGACTGCCAGAGAGGTACCATATTGCACTTTACCGGCTTATTGCAATTGAAGACCAGATCAACAGGGCACGGTAAGTGCACATGGATACAAGTACGTCCTTTCAACACGGCACTCGCTCGCCGACAAATACTGTTGATGGAGGATGTCATGCACCAGGTAAGTAGTCAGGGGTCAGGGTCAGGGGGACAAATATCACCCCGTCTCCCTCTGCATGCCCCTTCCTTGCACCCTCTCCTTGGAAAGCCTTCCCTGCTTTAGCTGCAACCATCAGGACTCAAGCTTGAGCAACGGATCGGTAAAATGGGAAACATGTAGCGCATCACCTCAGAAGGACCGTCTAAAGGCTATATATGGTGGTACCAGACATGAGATTCCGGCAGCCCACATGCTGACTGCATGAACCGTCCGAAAGGTGCTGTGTCTTACTAGTAGGTCAATGCAGCGACCTTGTCGTGGAGCGTTATATTTTTTCGAAGTCTGCTTGCTTAAGACGCTCGCTGTGAGAATATTTCAGGGGCTGCGCCCAGAGTCGGGCAACGCAGTCAATTCATTCATTCATTCATTCATTCATGCATTCCTTGATGCATTCATTCATTCGTTCATTCATTCATTCATTCAATCCATCAATCAATCAACCAATCATGCAATAAATCCATCTCTCAATCATTCAATCACTCAATCATTCAATCATTCGTTCATTCAATCATTCATTCATTCACTCATTCATTGGGCGGGGTGCAGGGAGGGGGGGGGGCGCCCGCGCGCGCCCCCTCCCACCCTTTCCCTGATCCTCCTGCCCTTCCCGCCGTGGCCAGCGTCATGAGCATGCGCGCGCACGTCCCGCCAGCATCATCGCGCGCGCGCGCGGGAGCCACCTTTTGAGGCCTTCCAGTGAGCATCATCAGCATCATTGCACGCGCGGGGGCACCAATTTGAGGCCTTCCGGTACCCCTCCCGACCTCCGAAAACATCGGCCTGCGCCTGCCTGCGCCTGATGGGCCGCTGCGCGTGCGCCGGGTGCTGAAGCACGCCACAGCATGGGGAATTGCCGCAAAAACGTGCGCGTTGCCGGGTAAGCC